GTGACGGTCACTAATGAAACATCAGCGGGGATGGCTGTCACTAGCGAAACATCAGCGGGGATGGCTGTCACTAGCGAAACGTCAGTGGGGGAAACTATTACTAGTGAAACGTCAGGAGGAGTGACGGTCACTAATGAAACATCAGCGGGGATGGCTGTCACTAGTGAAGTGTCTGCAGGAGAGATTGTAAACAGTGAAACGTCAGGAGTAGTGACGGTCACTAATGAAACGTCTGCAGGAGTGATTATCACCAGTGAAACGTCAGGAGGAGTGATTATCACCAGTGAAACGTCACAGGCTGTAGCTATTCTAAAGAATAATATGTACATACTGAAACTGAAAATTTCACTCTGAGGCAAATAAAAAAATTCAGTCCTAATCCAGACAAATACAGTTGCCTAACTTCATTGGCTAGTCTTCCCTGATAAAACGTTCCCCTAACCAAGAATCGAACGTTCTCGAACATTCTGTTTGAAACACGCGGTACATCATACGCAATAAGACGATTTTTTTTAAAGCAAATACTGATAATTTTTATCCCGTGTATGACATTCAAACTTGATCAAATTACCCATAATTCTAGGTTTCATTTGGTTTGTGTGTTGTTAAATTTAAAACTACAATGGGCTATCTGTGCTCTTCCCACCGCGGGTAACTCCGAGAATTAAATTATTTCATGTTTGCATTTAATTCTGTGTGGACATTAATAGTACTGTTGTAAATTAATTATTTGATACACGTTTCCTTGCTGATAAACCAGCTTAAAATATCGGAATTTAGTTGTTTTTCCAATATCGCTATCAGTTCTATAGGTTAACTCACGTACAGTAAACCGTATGATAATAATTTTGTTTGAGTTCTTCTTATTTATCAGTTCCCATGATCCCTTGGCTTCAAAGGGAAAGTTAAAAGGCAATATCTGCTGGTTAAACAGTAACAAGAGACTCGTTTATAATTCTCTCTCGCGCGCAGATTCTGAAGAGATTCCGTCATTATTCTGCTCCACCATGATGTTCAGCGTCAAAACACGAGATGCGAACGTGGTCATATGTCAGTCCCGCCCACTACTTCCCATTATGGTAGTGCTGGAAGCAAATCAACCTTTTTACTGGTGCTGTTCCTATAACGTTGGAATCTTCTCTATCTCACCCACATCTGACAAAACACGGTATTGTGTAAAGTCTCATTTGCCCAAAGCCATGTACGTCATCCTGGCAATAAAAACGTTTATTGGTGTTTTTAACCACAGCGTGAAATCAGTTTGATTTATTTGTTTCTGTCTTCCTTTAATTCAAAAATCAACTTTGCATATCGTGTAAATAATTAAAGCGATTTTTAAATATCAAATTACTGACTTTTTTTATTAATTATCTTATATTCCCTTCACTGTCGGTAGGGTCCACGTATTACGTCACATTGAGTAATTTAATTGTGTTCTCTGTTACGTCGCTCAGTGAAAATAAGTGATCCAAAAAATGGTGAAATCAATCATTTTCTATTTAAATTAGATGGCGAACGACAGCAGCAATTCGTACTGTTAAGTTTTGTTTAGACATTTCTATACGATACATATAATATTAGGGACATTGTAACCAACAATGTCAGGGACTCGGGAGGAACCCGGTGTATAAATAGTTTAGAACAACGGGTTTTTAGAACCTTGTAACCAACAAAGTCAGGGACTCGAGAGGAACCCGGTGTATAAATAGTTTAGAACAACGTTTTTTAGAACCTTGTAACCAACAATGTCAGGGACTCGAGAGGAACCCGGTGTATGAATAGTTTAGAACAACGTGTTTTTAGAACCTTGTAACCAACAATGTCAGGGACTCGGGAGGAGCCCGGTGTATGAATAGTTTAGAACAACGGGTTTTTAGAACCTTGTAACCAACAATGTCAGGGACTCGACAGGAGCCCGGTGTATAAATAGTTTAGAACAACGTGTTTTTAGAAAGTCGATGGGGTTCACATCCTTGTATTATCTCGGATTTAATCTGAGAAGCTTATATTGAAATTAGATCTGCAACTGTATTAACGAAAGAGGTTCTGGATACGCTGTAAGCTGGCGTTTCAGGCTGTGGATCGGGAAATCCAAGGTTCGAGCCCCTATATGGATACCCTCTGCAATTTCACCTATGGAAGAAATTAATTGTAACCTACTATTTGGATAAAAAGAAACCTCATAACAGCACCCTATTGGCCGGTGTTTGTTCCTCTAACTGAGAGATGGTTACGCCTGAATCTTGGTCTTACCTGGTCGTTTAGCCCATTTGTCGCTTAAGGATTTGTTAAAATTGAGCATACCAAAGTCCATGTGTCACATAAAGATTTAAGATTGAACATATACCAAAGTTCGTGTGTGGCATAAGGATTTACTAAGATTGGACATACCAAAGTCCATTTATCACATAAGAACTTGCTAAGATTGAACATATACCAAAGTTCGTGTGTGGGATAAGGATTTACTAAGATTGGACATACCAAAGTCCATGTGTCACATAAGGACTTGCTAAGATTGAAAATATCCAATAATAAAAACTCATTCGTTGTTCTGCAGTAACTATTACCTAATAATATTTGTTTGTAACTTTAGAAAATTGTTGATTCTTCTCACAGGAGGTCCAGCAGCTAGGAGCTCGTCCTTATGGCGGGAGTTGCGATCCCTACGTGCGGATACAAGTGCTAAAAGAAAAGGGTCGAAAACGCCGCTCTAAGAACCTGCAATCCCCGAGATTCGAATTTCACACGAAGACATGTAAAAAGACCCAAAACCCACTTTTTCGCGAGAGATTCGCAGCAAACTTGCCATGTGCAGAACTGAAAGACTGTTCCCTGAAGTTGTGCGTGTTTGACGATGAACGATATGCTAACGACACCAACCTAGGGGAGGTTTCGGTTCCCCTGCGAGACTTGGTGAAAGTGGAAACCGGTGAAGAGTTTTTGCATACCTTTGATCTGAAAGAACCGAAACAAGTAGGTATTAATGTATTTATATGGAGGCTCTAGTTTTTGTATAGTCTAGTTGTTTCTAGTTCACTTATTATGCATTCTAGTTTACAATGATACGTAGGTGTTTGAAAATAAATATCTGACGGTTCTGATAAACCCATACGTACTCCCGGGTTCGAGTAAAGTATAAATACTTCAACTTTGTTGTTGGAAAATAAAACCTCCTCTACTGCTGGAAACACTCTGTCGAGCTTCAGACGAAACAGTTGAATTACTGGGAATTCTAATTTCATGTTATTTTTAATTCCTTTAAATGCTGATAGATATTGTGAAACTTCTGAGTTACCCTTACATCGACAAAAGCTCATTCGTCCTTATATGAACGACGTACACAAACATATGTTTTCTCGAAAGACTTCTTTAACTATTCCATCAAAGTTTTGAAAGTTAATATGTGATTTACAATATCAGAAGAATTATTTATAGGTGAACACGCACATGACTCGAAACGTCGTCCACCCTCTCAACTGCCTAAACAAGTTGTCCATAAGGTTCCTGAGGATTCTAATACATTATAATTTCTACATCCTTTTAACGCCTAAACAAGTTGTTCATAAGGTTCCTGAGGATTCTAATACATTATAATTTTTCCATCCTTTTAATACCTAAACAAGTTGTCCATAAGGTTCCCGAGGATTCTAATACTTTATAATTTCTACATCCTTTTAATACCTAAACAAGTTGTCCATAAGGTTCTTGAGGATTCTAATACTTTATAATTTCTCCATCCTTTTAATAACTGAACAAGTTGCCCATAAGGTTCCTGAGGATTCTAATACTTTATAATTTCTCCATCCTTTTAATACCTGAACAAGTTGTCCATAAGGTTCCTGAGGATTCTAATACTTTATAATTTCTCCATCCTTTTAATACCTGAACAAGTTGTCCATAAGGTTTCTGAGGATTCTAATACTTTATAATTTCTCCATCCTTTTAATACCTGAACAAGTTGTCCATAAGGTTCCTGAGGATTCTAATACTTTATAATTTCTACATCCTTTTAATGCCTAAACAAGTTGTCCATAAGGTTCCTGAGGATTCTAATACTTTATAATTTCTCCATCCTTTTAATACCTGAACAAGTTGTCCATAAGGTTCCTGAGGATT